ATGATGCTTGACATGTATGACAAAAATCAAGAAAAAATCTTAATCCGTTGCTATAGCAACAGTAACAGAACACTATTTGTAACCGTAGAGATGCATTATTTTGCTGGTTTTCAACATTTCTTCATATAGTTGATTCTTAAACTAGTATATAGTATTACACTAGTATATAGGACACTGCATATTTTATATTTAGTATTATATATACATGTATATCAAATGAAATCTAATGAATTCATACAGTAGTGAGGTTGGCATATAGTCTAGACTTTGGCACTTAGAACATGCATCATAATAAAATCTAATGTAATTATACAATAGAGAGGTTGGCATAGTCTAGATTTTGGCATACTGTCTAAATTTTATAAGCATTGGCTTTCTTCATCTGAGCAATCAGACTACTAGGTGGCCCTGTATAGCTTCTGGGGGCCACTGGGGACCATCGTATAGCTTTTAAAGGCACTGTGAATATTTGATTTAACATTAAATTCAATTGGATATTTCTCTAACAGTGAAATTTAATGGCCATGAAACATTTCAGATTGACAACATCGTGAATTTTTTGTCAGTGAAAATTTGGGCTTCTGGGGGCCACTGGGGGCCCCTGTATAGCTTCTAAGGCCACCATATAGCTTTTTTGGGCCACTAGGGGCCCCTGTATAGCTTCTGGGGGCTCCTGTTTAGCTTCTTGGGGACACTGGGGGCCACCATATAGTTTTTGGGAGCCACCGTATAGCTTCTGGGGGGCCCTTGTATAGTTTCTTGTTTCCGGGGGCTACCATATAGCTTCTGGGGGCTACTAGGGGCCCCTGGATATGCTTCTGGGGGCCACCATATATCTTTCCGGTGCCACTGTATAGCTTTTAGGGGGCACTAGGGGCCACTGTATAGATTCTGGGGGCTACTGGGGGCCCCTGTATAGCTTCTGGAAGTCACCATATAGCTTCTAGGGGCCATTCGGAGCCCCTGTATAGCTTCCGGGGGCTACCATATAGCTTCTTGGGGCTACTAGGGGTCCCTGTATAGCTTCTGGGGGCTCCTGTTTAGCTTCTTTGGGACACTGGGGGGCCACCATATAGTTTTTGGGAGCCACCGTATAGCTTCTGGGGGCCCCTGTATAGTTTCTTGGGGCCATTGGGGGCTACCGTACAGCTTCTGGGGGCTACCATATAGCTTCTGGGGGCTACTAGGGGTCCCTGTATAGCTTCTGGGGGCTCCTGTTTAGCTTCTTGAGGACACTGGGGGGCCACCATATAGTTTTGGGAGCCACCGTATAGCTTCTGGGGGCCCCTGTATAGTTTCCTGGGTCCATTGGGGGCCACCCTACAGCTTTTGGGGGCTACCACATAGCTTCTGGGGGCTACTAGGGGTCCCTGTATAGCTTCTGGGGGCTCCTGTTTAGCTTCTTGGGGACACTGGGGGGCCACCATATAGTTTTTGAGAGCCACCGTATTGCTTCTGGGGGCCCCTGTATAGTTTCTTGGGGCCATTGGGGGCCACCGTACAGCTTCTGAGGGCTACTATATAGCTTCTGGGGGCCACTGGATACCATCCTATAGCTTCTGGCGGCTACTTGGGGCCACCGTATAGCTTCTTGGTGCCATCACATAGCTTCTGGGGCCTACCATATAGCTTCTTGGGGCCACTAGGGGCCCCTGTTTAGCTTTTGGGGGCCACTGTAAAGCTTCTTGGAGCCACTGGGGACCACCATATAGCTTCTGGGGGCTACTAGGGGCCGCTGGATATGCTTCTGGGGGCCACCATATGGCTTTCCGGGGCCACCGTAAATCTTTATGGGGGCACTAGGGGCCACTGTATAGATTCTGGGGGCTACTGGGGGCCCCTGTATAGCTTCTGGAAGTCTCCATATAGCTTCTAGGGGCCATTTGGAGCCCCGGTATAGCTTCTGGGGGCTACCATATAGCTTCAGGGGGCTACTAGGGGTCCCTGTATAGCTTCTGGGGGCCACCTTATAGCATCTTGGGGCCACTGGGGCTCCTGTATAGCTTCTGGGGCCACTGGGGTCCATGGTATAGCTTCTGGGGACCACTGGGGGCATTTTTTATTTGAACCTTGAAAATTAATCTATTTTGCCAGATTTGGTGGCTGTCGAGGTGGGGTAAAATTAAATTATAATTTTTTTTTCAAATTCATGTGACTATTTATCTCTAAAGCAGCACTTTTTTACCTAGGGAGCATAACCTTTTCAAGAAGTGTTATTTTGGACCACCTTTTTAAAGAAAGTGAAATGTAAAAACCTGATTATTAAGTGATGTTACCATAGCAACTGAAATGTTAGATATATTACATAAACCATATGATGAATTTTTTCATCTTTACTTCTAATCATGTATATACACAGATACGTATTTACTTCAGATGCTTAAAGAATCAAGAATATGAAGAAAATTATGAAAATCAGCAAAATAATGCATTTAAACGGTAACAAATAGTGTCTATTTCTGTTGCTATAGCAACGGATTAAGATTTTTTCTTGATTTTTGTCACATGTGTCAAGCATCATACTAAAACCAATTCCTGAAAATTTCAAGTTAATATATTTATTAGTGTCTGAGATATGAGGGTGTCTTATAGTACCCCCTGTATATTTTATCAGGGGGTATAAGAAATGCTCTGTAGAGAGTTGCCCAAGGGTGCCGCTCCGGCATCCAATGGTTTTGAGGTCCCAACCCTATATTTATGCTGATAAGTTAAAAAAACATTGTAATCCGAAGAAAACGATTAGCTTTGAAGTTTCTGCCAGACTAATATTACGAGAAAATATTAACTACTGACTAAAAGACGGATTTCGACACGTGAACTTTATGCCTCGGTCATATGTGATCAACGGCAATCATACGGCCTTCGTAGCTTCCAAAATATCAAGTGATTGCTTGCTGCATAGAAAATAGAAATAAGCAGTCGCTGTTGATTTTCTATATCTATTTTGTGAAGCTACGGTCGTCTTACGCCCGCCGTAGAGCAAAATGTAACCGAGGCTTTATTTACTACCACAACCATTTTACCCAGTATAATGTATAACGCATCACAGAGTAAAGTCGTTTAAGAAATATAATTCAAAATCCCTGAGTATGTGACCTTTGATGAAAAGTGCCACGCCCAATTTCTCCCTAGGATCTCTTTAACATGTTAAGTCAAACAATTGTCTCACGAATATCAACGTAATAACACCAACCAATTCAATCAACACTTTTTAAGAGACTTTACGAATATTGTAGGTCATAAATCCTCAAATTCTACTTTTCAAATGAATCCATTTTGGATGAATCCATCCAAAAATGTGGGAGACTGGAGGTTTCATAAAGCAGACAGAGGTTAGCGGTATTGATTGTTTATATATATTTGTTAGATGTACATATTTCAAAATTTGATTACAGTAGATCTATTTTGATTATGTATTCATAAGCCACTTCATTGCATGATAATAACTTAAGTTGAAGTTTGTAATCATGCCTTTTTGTTATGTTATTAAAAATATCGTTTTAAATCTAATTTGTAATCCACTAAATTAACTCCCTTGATGATGAAATGGTCGATTAGGTAATTTGGTTACAAGTAAACCTCCATAAATAGGTCAGATCTTTAAAGCGAAATTTCACACCTTTCAAATGGTATATTGATATCTTGGGATAAATTGCGTCATTTATTTCCCTTAGTGGCAGACTTGGAAACTCTCGTTTGCTTAGCTAATATTCCTCTGCGTGGATGAGTGAGCGTATTTCATAATTAAGATTGGGTGAACATCAAACGTATTTTTTAATAATATTGGATACTTTAGAACTTAAAACATAATAAAGCACATGAGCCTAATCCATTAGGGCAAATTATTATTTTTATACATCATATGGGAAATATCAAAGCTCCAAGAGTGGGAAATCCAGGCCTGATTTTGATATACTGTATGACCGTGTAGATTGGCATTATTCTTTTAACATCAAAAAGGTTTTCATAAAATGCCAGCGAAGTACAATCATTCTCTCATTCCTTTTCTCTTCACATGCTTAACGCAGCACATGGCGTCAAGAGAAAGGTGAAAGTACCATGGTAACAAGATACACTTGTATCTACGAACGTTGACGATCTTAATTGATTATTTGTAAAACGGTTGATGTTTTATCATCGGCGTTCTGTTCTGCGTGTCGCTATCACGAAAGATTAGCTTATTTCAAAAGCAAAACAATGGAATACAAAAAAATAAATTATAATTTATTTTTTATTATTTCTGTTTCGTGTTTGGAGTACTGACGAGTAGTGACGAATAAAATACATACAACGTCGTCATGGGTTATGAAATAATTAGATAACACATTAGAAAACCAGACCATATGAGGTAACACAAATGTATCTTAGGTTTCAGCATGGGCCTTAAAGAGATTTATCTTAAGGGAAGTGCATTATGAAATTAGATATTTACATATCATATGTATAGGTTCGTTCTGTTTATGGAAATATTTTGTCATTAGCTTTACATTTGAGTAGAACTACAATAGTGTTGCAAAGAGCCACATTAAATATTAAATTGCATCAAACAATAGAGATTAAATGTTGCAAACAGTCTTCTGTAAAGCATGCCAATTTTCCACGAAAACAACTTCTCTTATTTTTTCTAATCTCAACTCGTCTTTGCTCGAGGTTTCATTGAGATGGTAATTTTCTCAGACTATACGTGGGTCTACTTATTAGTTTATTATTGACGTGCAATTATTTAGTAAAATTAAAGGTAGAGTTGGGCGCAGAGTATGTATCTTAGCTTTATAAAAACTATCATCTGTTCGCGACATCTTTGGTGAAGTTCAAGCTTTGAAATCTTTTTGTTTCGAAATTCAAAATTGATTCGATCATATGGAAAATGTGGAATAGGGACAGGGATCGAGCCGTCTAATTTCGAATATGTATTGGGGACAACGATGTTGTTTTCTTGTATAAGACAATCATGGTCTACCAAATATCTCTTTTATTCATTTTATTTTGTTTGCTTTCAGCGACCTGGGTCTTTTCCGCAGCATGTGCTTTCCCGCCGATGGTTGGTTGGTCGAGGTACACATTCATCAAAGGCAAGGCTATATGTACCCTTAAATGGTCAACGGAGATTGGCTACACGCTACTGGTGCTTATCATGGGCGTCTTTCTTCCATTTTGTGTCATGACAATCTCATACTACAAAATATTCAATAAAGTGCGAGAGTCGAAAAGACGAATCGCTCTACAGATGGACAAGTCAATGGTGACCAACAAGTTTTCCTATGAACTGAGTAACAACGCTTCTGGGTCGAGTGCGAGCAGAAAGCAATCCAGTTCCGTAGCTAGACTCGTACCTAACGGGACGACAGAGACTGTGTATATTCCAACTATCAAAGTTTCTTCAGAAATGGACGTTGATGTGGAAGAAGAGAGGGAGGAATGTGACTTTGACAACGAAGATATGGAAGCCCCTAATGGAAGCGCAGTGAAGCAAAAATTGTTATTTGTAGGGATCAACAATAGAAATGGAATTCATTTAGGGGATAAATTGAGAAAAGAGACCAGTATGGACAGCTACCTCTCGTCGACGGGTTCGGATTTGGCTCAGAGTGACTGCCAACAGTTTGAATGGGAAACGGAGTCAGCCCCCGGCGAACTTACTCCACGAAAATATAGTCTGAATTCGTTAAATAGTCAACTAAGTAATGCAGATAGTAACGATAGTGTGATACCAGTGAACAAGAGCGTACAATTTCTCAAAACTGGTGATGAGAATAAAAAACGGCGAGGAAGTATACTTAGTCTTAGTCTACCTTCTCCAAGTAGGACATTTCTAGCGCTACAGGACAAATTCAAAAGGACAAACTTTAAGAGCGACGAGCTACGGATAACAATCACGTTGCTTGTCGTATGCTTTGTATTCCTCGTATGTTGGGCACCTATCAGCCTTGTTAATTTCGTAGAAACATTCTGGAACTATAGAATTCCCGAAGGGGTTGACATTACCACGGTGTATATGGTGTTCCTTCAATGTGCTCTCAATCCTATCATATATGGTGTCATGAACCGGAACTTCCGGTCTGGATTCAATGACATTTTCTGTTGCTGTTGTGATAGATTAAAAAGGAAAGAATCGACAAAAATGAGCATATCGCGTCCATAGTGGACAAAATTCAAAATTGTTTATGTAGCGGATGTTGTATTGTAATTTATTGAATCGAAATCATTTATAGTGAATCATTTGTTTAGACTGAACTTTTTGATATTTGCTTTAATGTCTTGTTTCCAATATGTTGGCGTGACCCGTAATTTCTGTGTGAAATCGATATGATTTGTTGTCCATGGCGCAGACACCCCCAAGACCTGACAATGCTATTTAAAGTGATTACAAAGTGGAAAGATACTTAACATTATCTAGGTGTGAACAAAATGTTAATGTGTCAAAATGGCCGTTATAAGATTTAGGATATTTTAATGAACTAAGTTTTGTTGACTCGCAAGGAGGATTGGCTCCCAGAATGCAATATCGATATTCTTGCCATACAGTATATGGTGTTATGACCTTGACCTTATTTTCACGTAGTAATGTCATGTCAAAATCAAAACGCTCGCCATTTTCCACACAAATTTAAATTGTGAGCTTTGGTCTTTTTCCAGGCAAAAATCAAAACACACAAGAAGTGAACAATTAGTTCAAATCATTTATATCGCTGATTATCATCATGATAAACCATGACATCTCATTTCTTCTCAGCCCATGTTTCAGGACGTGAAACAGAAAGATGCTATGAGTATCAGAATGGCTGATTATGAATTTAAAGTAGTCATCAGTTATAATTTCAGAAAATAACGACATTTTCAATGGTGTCATCGGTCAAGGTCAAAGTCGAATATCGAGTTGGGACCCTGGGAGCCAATCCTTCTTGATTCGTATAGAAATATGTCGAATCTAGAAAAATATAAGTTTATAATGAATTCATGATAATGAAATTGCAAAAAATGATACATTTTATCAACAAACTTTTTAATCAACGTCAGGCGCTAGTTGGGAAAAGGGAAAAGAGTAAATTATACAGGATAGTTAGTATCAAAATATTTCAATAGCAATGTATTTTACTGTATAAATGTATTACAATATATGTAAATGTCATTTAAATTGATTTGTGGGGATGCCAAAATTTTGCTTGAAGCACAATAAATTTTGAATCTGGAATTGATACGTATTGCCCATTGCACGAAAAATCCAAGCTGTAAATTGAACTACTGGCATGTGGAGGTCTAAGTCTCGTTCACTGATATATGTGTCATATTCTGGATGTTCAGCAGATATTGAAGATATGAAATAACAAGAAACCAAGATTGTAAGCAGTCTTACGGGGGTCCTATAGGCAATTTTGACAACTTGAAGGTCAGCGAAAGGTTGTTAGGCCGTTTCATAACTTTTTCCAGGGCTGGAAAGAACTTTAAGAACACAGTTTGGTACCTACTCTGATGACCTTGACATTTGACCTTGAAAATTTTACCTTTACAACCTCAGTAGGTCTTTTGTGATTGAGCTAACCTAAATTTGAATCTTTAAAATCAATTTGAAAAATCGATCATCTTTCGGAGGTCACTGAAGTTCAACCAAAGGTCAAATCTAAAATCTAACTTCAGATTTGAACTGTTGAGAACTTGTACATGATTTTCCTTAAAAAAGCTAGCTTGTCTTTGCATAAATTAATTCTATTGTCCAGGAGAACTTCCACGCATGCCAAAGGGCACATCTGCAACAGAGGGTGAAGTTCAAATGTAGCCAACCCACCCAATTCTTGAACATTACACAGCCTATTGAAATCTGCTATTGTAAGTCGATGGTAAATTAAGTGGCAGAATTCTCTCGTTGCTAGCAATCGTGTATTCCAGTGTTTTAGAACAGTACAAACATAAATGTATTGAAGAAAAAACGCAAACTCTAGCTAAACAGTTCTTCTCTGCGCTATCATTTTTTTAAATTTTTTGATTCAACATGATATTGTAATGACGTCAGTATGAATTAAATGTCCCTTGGTCCTTGATTGTGATATTGGCTCTCGATCGGAGGGGAAAGGAGGGGGTGTTGGACATTATTTCTTTTGATTAGATCATGGTTTTGGGATATATAGAGTCAATTTTTCTTATGACAGGTTTACATTTAGAGTCTTCTTGCTAGGTTTCTTTACAGTTGGTCCTTTCTCTTAGGCACTTGTACTTTAAGGTATAGTGCACCCGCTTCTTCTAGTTAACAGGCTGATTGAATTAACAATGCAATGTACATACGAAATTATGATTTGCAAATTCGTGACTTATTTCTAAAGTAATACATAACACCCTTATCACACAAAACTAGATCTCAACCTATCTTTACAATCTTACAAAAAGTCGTAAAACGGGCTAAATCTGGCTGTGGTCGGGAAATATCTTTAACTTAATTACCTACTTCGTTCACACACAGTCTTCAATACGTCCATCTCATTCGCAGTTCGTTCAGGTGGCACCATGTCGTTATGAACAGGTACTGCATTTTGATGTCCGATTTCAAAATGCCGTCTGAGGTGTTTATTGATACACGTGTTATCAGAGCCATTTCATCCAAATAAGCCTTTTCAAATTGACTAAGGTCCATGTGCAGTATGGCAAGTGATTTTAGACGGTCATATCATGGGCACTTTCTGGCCATCAATACAGTGGTTTTTATTAATTATAAAACAATATGTTTTCTTTCAAGTGAAGTCCCCATGGTAGTAAAATATCAATCCAACTCTCTGAAAAATTATGGATTAGGACCACACATTGGCATTTTTTTTAAAAATGGTAGGCTCATATTCTAAAAAGAGGATCTTGTTTTTCTCAATTTGAACATATCGAAAGTTTCTTCTACACGTTATTAACAATTTCTTAAAAGGGGATGTGTATTGAAATGCTTTAAAGTTAAAAACCACATATCCAATGTTATTTTCCAGTAGGGAAAACTTGTGCTATCCATTGTTTTCAGCATAGTTTTGGTCATCGAAAATGGATATCTTCAAAACTAGACTTTCAATACCATTATACTTTTGAAGAAGTTTTAGACCCCTTGTTGAATAATCTTTTCATGCAATAAAAATCAGAAAAATATCCTCTTGAGTAAATAGATTCAACATTTTGAAAAAAATGTTGACATGTGGTCCCTATTAATAATTTTTCGAATTGTTCGATTGATATTTTTATCATTGTTATATATTTCACAATGTTTTGAACAACTACTTTTTTGTATGTTGCGTCTCAATGGGGAGAAAGGATAATGCAAATTACATCCATGAAGAGGTATGGTTCGAAAACCATAATTTATTCAAAAATAATAAAAACTTACAAATAGTTTCATTTGAAATAATCTCCCGGCAATAGAACAGAAAAAATATTTTTGATTATCATGCTTGCCAGGTGTTCTACATAATACTGTGTTCACTGAATTCAAACCATGGTACAAAAAGATGTGATGACATTTTTTATTTCATATGTTACTGAGTATGCTGTGCAGTGAAAATGCAATCATGGGGTATTAATCTTAATCACATATTCATTCATACAAATAGAGCATCAATCCATGCCATCTATTGAGCATATTAATTAACGTATCCTCAGAACATTTAATAAAAGTACATCTTGTATCAAAAAGGTGGCGCTCCTGTAGAATATTTTCTTATAGTAATTAAAACCAATTTAGACAATTGTTATAGCGAGTGAGTTTTATGAATAGAGAAGTCATTCTGGGCTTGGTCGCCGAACAGTCAAATCCAGAAATGTTTATAAAAATTTTCAAAAGTTATAGCAAAATGGATATTATTTGCGACGGCACCTTTGCGACTGGGTCCGATAGGTTGCGAGGTGGGGTTATACCTTTCCATAGGGCATCGACTTCAGTCGAATAGCGTCTTTGGTTTTAATGGTGATCAACCACCTCAATATCAACCGGGCAACAATTATTAATCTTAGCATTACATACAAAATGTTTTGCTTATGCCTTGGTCACATTTGCTCCGATTTTCACTACGGCGCCCGGCCGATTGAGTATTTTATTCAAAATTGAAAAAATTATTATTACAATATTGAGCAAAACACTGCAATCGGCCGGGCGCCGGCCGATGAATGGGAGCAAATGTGACTCAGGCATTAATGTTCGTAGACAGACCCAACTCGACCGAATAACGTCCTTCCCGTTGGTGGATAACTCAGTAACATATTAGGACGTATTGAAAACGAGGTACAACTAATTGTCATCTGGTTTAAACTGATTAAGGACGTAATTGAACTGCTTGGATACGTTGTGTAGACGAGACGAATGCACAATTTAACCCGATCTAAATTTGATACCATGCAACGTACTGCAGACGGAATAAAGACGAGGGGAACGTATTAAAAACTGCTTATGAACGAATAAACAAAAATAGCTATCACACCAGAACCAGTTGTCACTGCGTTCTACAAAACGTTGCCGAATCGGTTTTAAACTGTGTGCGAACTACAACGTTCTACGGTCTGTTTTCGAACTTCATGGACTTTCCCGGACGGGGAATGTGATTTAGAATTTTGAATCGATTCAAAATTCGATGGCGACCATACCGTTCTGTAATCAGGTCATGATGACCTTCGAGACTAAGTGACGCGTTATACGACGTTGCACACCTACGTGGTGCGACCTGAACGAACTGCGAATGAGATGGACGTATTGACGACTGTTTATGAACGAAGTAGCTAATTATTTTAGACATATTTCCCGACCACAGCCAGATTGAGTCCGTTTTACGACGTTTTCGTAGGACCGGCAAGAACGGGTAAGAACTAGTTTGTTGTGATAGGGGGGTTACCCTACTATCACACCAAACTAGTTCTCACTACGTTCTCGAAAACGGGCTTCAACTGTGTACGAACGGACTAGACCTACTAAGAACCGTTTGGGATCTATTTACAAACTTCATCGAACGTACTCGAACGGGTAGTCCTCTAGAACTTAGAACATGCTCAAAATGTTCTCGTGGTCGTCACGTTCTACAATTAGAACGAGTGACAACGTACTAACGATCCGCGACGAGCTGGACGTTCTACGAACGGAACCGTCGTACTTCAGTCCTACTAGGGACGTTTTAACAACGAGTTGAACTGTCTGAGGACGTGTTGAGAACGAGGTAGAACTAATTGCAAACGGGTTTAAACTGATTAAGAACGTATTTAACACTGCTTATGAACGAGATAGCAAAAATATAGCTATCACACCAAACAAGTTGCCACTGCGTTCTTCAAAACTGGTTTTAAACTGTGTGCGAACGGAATGAACGTAGCTGCAACTTTTTAAGGTCTATTTACGAACTTCATGAACGTTCTCAAACGGGAATGTGATTTTAGAATTTTGAATCGATTCAAAATTCGATGGCGACCATACCGTTCTGTAATCAGGTCATGTTGACCTTCTAGACTAAGGGACGCGTTCTACGACGTTGCACCCCGACGTGGTGCGACCTGAACGAACTGCGAACGAGATGGACGTATTGAAGACTGTTTAAGAACGAAGAAGCTAATTATTTCAGACATGTTTCCCGACCACAGTCAGATTGAGCCCGTTTTACGACGTTTTCGTAGGACTGGCAAGAACGGGTAAGAACTAGTTTGGTGTGATAGGGGGGTTACGAAATATGATTGAGTTTACACCTGTTTTTCTAAAACGTCTTAGAGATATGTAGGTATACATGTAAAATGAAAAAAGCAGTTCAGTACTGGTTGAAGTACGGTTCAGCCAATATAGCTATTCCTTTCCCGCTTCTATACTTTTGTATTAAAGAATGCATCGGTTTCACAAAAATATGTCCTAAAGACAGCATTGTTAAAGCATGAAAGAGAGCAGGGAGATTTTATACATAAATTATGATTATGATAAATCGCCAGGCAAATAAGTTCTTCTCAATAATTTTGTGATGATATTGGGAACAAGGGATAAGACAAAAGAAATGACCATGCGACATATGTAAATGGAAAGTTTCAAATGTTAACTTTTAGCTAAAACCGATGGATTTACACTCGCTTGTAAAACGTTTTAACGCTAAGACGTCTTGGCTATGACTAGGGTCCTAAAACGTTTTAGCTAAGCGCTCTTAGCCGAGAGCTCTTGAGAAAATCTGGATTTACATTACATTTGTAAAACGTTTTAACGCTAAAACGTTTTATCCCAAGACGTCCTAGGGATATAGTGTAAATCCAACAAGTCTTACAAAACTATATCAATCTTAAGTATTAAACAGCTTCTCACATGGACACGTAGACTAGAATTTACAAATAAAGTGTAGCGACCAAAACAAGCCAAAGCTTGATCCAAATTAAAGGCCTGTTGTGTTATGCATGTAACATGGCGTACGTACAGAATAGAACGATAATTCCCCTTTAAGTAAACCAACTTTTGATCCGTTTTGATAGAATAAGTAAAATTTTATTGGAATTTACTCAAGTACTTAAATACAAGTACATTGTTTGCCATATAGCTTTGGGAGATCTTTTCCGAGCAACTTTGGCACTTATGCCATCCCAATGATTGTGAAATAGCGAACGGCAACATTAGTATAAGAATACCGACTACATCTTGAAAAGACCAAGTTTACACAGGCCTAGCCTTTGGACGAGATAAATCGTGGATATAATTTTGGTGAAGGAAGACTTAGCTATGAAGTTAGTTTAAATGCAGTTTTACTGGATCTTCAACAGGATAAAATCTTCACCAAACTAACTTAACCACTAATAATTTTGTTGTTATTCAAACGTACTATATTTCCAATATACACATTACATGAAAATCTGTTGTTCGCTATGGAGCCACGTTCATCTACTAAACGTTTGAATCGCTACAAAGCTGCCAGAGATGACAACGTTTACCATAATGGCTCATCTAGTCAGTCAAGCCAACACCCAGGCAATGGACACGAGAAATGGGAGAATAATAATGAACAGAATTGGGGACATTTTGGAGGTTATGACAACGGATTCATAGCAGGAATGAATTACAGAAAGGTATATTAACTAATCTATTTTACATAAAAAGTTCGATCATTGTCATGAATTGCCATTACGATATTATAAATTAAACGTGAGCTGAGTCATTTACGAAATGCTGTATGAACTTAACGGTGAACAATTGACACATTCACGCCAGTGCTGTTAGTCATGTACAATTATATGCCATTGACATGAATCTTGTTTTGATGAGGTATACTGGATGACTGTTGACCAATCAATGGAATCACGTCAATATATTGTTAGTCATCTGCAATTAGATGGGCATACGACATGTATTTTGTAACAATTTCCAAATTTTTACATTATTACAATCTGAAAAAGGTTCAATGAACGGCACAGCAGGGTTCGCAACTAAAGCCTTAGCTTGTATTCACGAATGCAACTTTCTACTGTCGGCTACCGGATTAATGTTTTAATGTTCATAAATCAACCCGTCAATTTGAAGTTGATTTAACGAACAACCCGTTAGTCGACGAAACGTGATCTGTGATCGCGTGATATTTATGCATTGTTACGGTTGAATTAGCGAACAGATCGTAGGTTATTGTTACTAATTGCTGCTAAATAGGCAGGCTGTAACTAGTTATTTAGGTCACCGATTGGGTTTGACGCGATATCTTGCAGCTATACTGGGAGACACGGCTGATACTATTCATATTTTAATTAGTTTGACATCAAGATACGATCAACCCGGTAGCCGAAAGTTGCATTCGCGAAAACAAGCTCAGTCATATTTGTTCTACGACGCATCACAAAATCAATATAGAAAATTTACATCGTACTGCTTATCCTTATATTTTACGCTGCATATTTCTCTCGAATTTGGGAAACTACTCTCGCCGTGCGTATGGTTGTCGTAGATCAAATGTGACTGGGTCTCTTGGTTGAAAACATCCATGATTGCCCAATTTGACATATTGGCAAGCAGTCCATTACTCAGCAGGCAAATAATTTTCTCCAGATAATGATTGCCATTGGTTGAGATTTAAACACTTGGACATAGCGTATCAATTACTGCATTGTTTCGTGACATTTCTAATCCTTTGGTATTGGGAAAATTGTACTTTAATTTAAAAAATTTAACTTACTGATCCACATAATCCAAAACCAAATTATGTACTATGAGTATGACCTTAATTTCATATTCGGTTTATAGAAATAAACTATTAGACGGGTAGGAAGGAGGGGTTCCCATGCACCCGAAAGATGTATTTTTTTAATGTACATTTTTGTAATCCTAAAGGTCCATACTAAAGATTTTTGCATGTTCCCAGAATGAAATATTGTCCCATGGTATCTATTGGCGGCCATCTTGTCGGCCATCTTGGATTTTTGAAAGAGTTGATGTTAATTATCTCAAAGCACAATAACTTCCAGAGTTTTGAGATTTGAAAGCTGTAAGTGGTACCAAAATGAAGCTATTATAGTATCCTATATTATCAGATGCAATAATTATGCAAATTGTCTCATTTGCATAAAATGTGACATCATCAATCATAATTCTTGCCTCTTTACAACGGTATCGCATTATACCTTTCTGCCCGAGTGATCAGTCTTAGTCATTCATTCACATAAATGAATTTAAATATATAGGTACATTAATTTTAAACATATTTGCAAAAAAAATTCGAAACTTTTGGAAAAACATTGTCAGACACACGATAATGTTACTGAAAAGAGGCGTGGCACTTCTTGTGAAAGAATTGATGTTAATTATCTTGAAGTATAATAACTTCCACAGTTTTGAGAGTTGAAAGCTGTAAGTGGTACCAAAATGAAGCTATTATAGTATCCCATATTATAAGATGTAATAATTATGCAAATAGTGTCATTTGCATAAAATGTGACATCATTAATCGTAATTTTTGCCTCTTTACAACGGTCTCGCACAATACCTTGGTGCCTGAGTGACCAGTCTTAGTCATCCATGAACATAACTGAATTTGAATATATAGGTACATTAATTTTGAACATATTTGCAATTGAAAGTTTTGGAAAAACATTGTCAGACACTAAGTTATAACACTTCACATGATTATGTTACTGAAAGGGGGCGTGGCGAGTTGATGTTAATCATTTCAAAGTACAATAACTTCCACAGTTTTGATAATTGAAAGCTGTAAGTGGAACAAAAATGAAGCTATTATTATATACTTATAAAAATGCAATAATTATGCAAATTTTCCCATTTGCATAATACAGGGTGTCCCGAAAGTATGGCCCCCCCCCCTAGGCAGTGTCGTCATAGTATGTGTCATATATCATTTTAAAGCTTATCCAAAGTTACATTGATTCACCAAATATCATGGTTCAACTTGACCATTTATCAGCAGCAATTATTTTCGAGTCGGATGGATATTGAGTTGGAAAAAGAGAACGGTGAGGGTAGAAACTCTAAGGAAACTCTTCTAAAGTTCCTTAACATGTTTTAAGAGGGTTATAGAATTCCACACCCCTATTTGAAGGGCTTTTAAGGTCATAATTGAGAATAATTGCTACTGTGAACATTGCCAAGGGGGGACTCATTGACTAGTAATGTAGTGTAAAATTGAACTTTATTTTGACAAAACACTAACTTTTAAAATGACTGTAACTTTTTCCCATTTGGAAGTTAAACCATGATACTTGGCAAATCAATGTAACTTTAAATAAGCTTTAAAATGATATATGACACATACTATGAGAACACCGGAATATGTCTGCCTAGGGGGGGGGGGGCATACTTTCGGGATACCCTGTATGTGACAACCTCTATTATTTTTGGCATTTTTCAACGGTAACAACCAATATCTCTCCCTCTGGGTAACAGTCTTGGTTATTCATGAGCATTTATGATTTTGAATATATATGTACATTAATTTTGAACATATTTGCAATTGAAATTTTGGAAAAACTTTTTAAGAAATTAAGTGTTGACACTTCACATGATTATGTAACTGAAAAGGGGGGGGGGGCAGTTTTGTTCAAAATGTTAACTTCTAAACACTAATATCAAATTCAAGGGCTGGAGCTCCTCTAGCAGAGTCATGTAGATAGAGCCCAATGTTGCTCATTGGTGAAATGTTGGCCAAATTTTGCATCTTGTATGCACTGCTTACAAGTACATGAAGTGTTCATTATGATAGTGTAATTCCAATATGACAGCACAATACAAGTCAGGCTATTTTATTGTCACATATGTAAAAGTCGATCTGATGAGACATGTTAAAAGTGGTAGTGGTTAATAATGCCCAGATCAAATTAACACAAGATAGATATTGAAGGTAGGCCCAGATCAAAGTATGGACATCCTTAGCCTCAATCATGACGCCATCTGTATTGTCCATTAGTGGGAGCTGTAACCCAAATAATGAGTATATGATTTAATGTATGTGTCATTCAGTTGCCATGCACTTGGGGCAGTTGGCAGTTTCTTCCTTGCCCCAAAGTCTGAGGTTTGATGGAGTTGAGACCAGGTCAGGGAAAGCTCTTAATAGGAAATCGAGCCCCCCTTGGTCCATGGACCAAAGGTCATTCCATTTCAAGAAGTGCTGAAGTGAGGGTTCCCAGGTAATGTCAGGTAATGTAATGTCAGGAAATTCCCAGGTAATGTAAATCTGGAAAGGCCACTGAAATCGGGGAGTAATGTCATAACACCCCGATATATGACTTGAGTCAATGGCTCTAAGCCACTTGTCCAGGTCCCTTGACACTTCAGCTGTTTTGTTCAAACCACACATAGTTCTTCTCTAGACATTTGTTTCTTTATCTTGCCCTGTTGGTATTTGCTTGCCATTTATTTTGAACTGCATTGGAGAAAGCTTGCCATCAACCAAAACCATGCTTCTTGACCTGGTTGGTTTTTAACTTCATGCAAGTCCAGTTTGCCATTCTTTCCATACCTAATAGAACTCATCTTGTACCCACTACTGAACTGGTCATAACTGTGATGTCATCCATGAAAGCTCTGTATGGTAAGTGTTTTGCACCGTCATTTGCTTTTGAAACCTTACACTGCATCATCCCTGCCTTGAGCAGTAAGTTCATTAATGTTACGAAGAGAACTACTGATACGGTGCAGTCTGCCACTATGCCTTTCTCTGAACACTGCTAATTAGTGGATTAGTGGTATTATTGCCAAATATATTGTGCAACTTCAAGGAGTTTGTGTGTCCCATTGTCAGATTGACTACATCTGTTGGTTTTGGTACGTGAAAGTTAACTTGTACCTCTAGTATCAGTTGGTGAGGGACACTAGGTAGACCTTAGGTCCAGCCAAACTACTTATTCTCTTTCTTGGCTTCCTTCACAAGTTGGCTTATTGCTGCTATATGCACCCTTGATGTCTTGGGATACCACTTTTCTGAATTCTTGGCAGGCCAGTAGGAAATAACTGCGAGACTTGACCACAATGGCCCAGGAGATCTTTCCCTCAGCATCCGATAATGATGTCTACTTGAACTGGTTCAGTCCCTCAAATTTTAGCTCCTTTGGAATGAAGCACCTTTCCGCCAAAGCCCAAGTCCTTGCTCGATTTTTCTTGTTCTGGATGCTTGTTAGCAATCACCATAGATGTATTAAGACTGGTCAAATGGTTTTAATAAATCTGGTGAGATGTCAATTGGGAAATTACTCAATGGCATATTTTGATCTGGGTCAGTGTGTGCTGCCAAAGTATTTGCTTCTGCTTGATCTTGCGTTTATGCCATACAAGCACTCTTTGGTTCCCTAACAAGTTTGATGTGAGCCTATAGAGATTTTCAAAGAATGTCTTCTTGGTCCTACGCTTCTCTTTAGATTTTCTCTAAGATGAAGTAATCTCTTAAGAAGCATCTGTTGGAGCTCTCTGATCTTTTTCACTTGCCTGTGTTGAAGCCGTCCACGAACACTGTGGGCTTCATCTCTCCTTCCGAAGAGAAGCTTTTGTCTTCTACTTGGCCCAACACAATGGTGTTTCACAGATGTTTCCTCCACTCACTGTCCTCGCATCTGGGATGGAAATCGTTCTAACTTGGACAAGAGGTAGCATAGTGAAGAGACTGGGCTCTGCATCCCACTTCTATTGGGTGCATAACTGCATACCTCCCTCTTGTCTTAGCCTCATCAAATAGGTCCTGGATTTTTAAGCTGATCAGATATGTTAATCAGTCAACTCTTCTGAAGGTACCATGAGTTCATTGAAGATGTTGGACCTCTGTGTTTTGACATCAGCACTGAGCTTCTGTAAGAAGTCAGTTGAGAGTCCAGTCGGATGTCTTGGATAAAACATTGAACTGAGGTAGAGGCTTAATACATATTGAGTTAATTATATAGCTTTAACAACTAAATACTGTGGGTACCCATTTCAGTCCATTGCCTATCCTAAAATGATATGGGGATATGTGGTCATTCGTATCTGTATAGTACTTAGTCCAAAAGCGATACAGATTATATATCTTTGGCTGAAATTTAAATGTCTGCCAAACAGACCAACAAGAATTTCTGAACAAGCTAGGAATAAGGAACATCACTGGGCTACTTTCTAAAAGTCAAAAGCTATATTTTGCACCCGAGGGATTCACTCTATATAAACCTTGACAAGGGGTTCCTCTTTTAACATTTGGTATGGCAATGGATTCAAATTTTAGGATCTGGAATGAGAATGCCCCCATTTAATTATGACTTTTGAGGTATGACAATGGTCGGATTTTTCTACTTTGTGGTACAAGAATGGTCATGGAGAATATGTTACCTCTCACTTAAGGTATGGGATTGGTCTAGTTTTTACAAATGTCCTTAATTTGAGGTTTTCATAAAAGTTCTGCTTCTTCCAGGGGCTTTAGACATTTTGCATTCCAATGGTCTTATATTTTGGGGATATTTGGTATGGCATTAGTCCTTTATTTGGACATTTGGTATAGAATTGGTCTTATATTTGGATATTTGGTATGGCTTTTGGGCGTTATTTTGGTTGGTGTGTGAACACATTGAAATTTGACAGATTGGTATGGGAACATAATGATATCTTAGGGCTCAGCCTAGGACAACTACAGAATTGTGTATTCAGTGAACCCCTGGGTATTTTACAGATGATACATCGACTATATAATAACATTACGGATTTTCACGCCCCTTTTCAGAACAATAATCATTTGAAAGACCATACCTTGATTTCTGTTAATGTTTTTCTAAAACTTTCAATGCAAATATGTTCAAGCTTTCAATTGCAAATATGTTCACAATGAATGTATACATTTAATATCTTTTATGTTCATGAGAGACCAAGACTGGTCACTCAGAGGAAAATGCAATATGTATTACCGTTGAAAAGGGGCAAAAATAATGATTGATGATGTCATATTTCATGCAAATACGGTGATTTACATAATTATTGTATCTTATAATGTGGGATATTGTGATACCTTCAGTTTGGTACCACTTACAGCTTTCAACTCTCAAAACTGTGGAAGTTATTGTACTTTGAAATGATTAACATCAATTCTTTCACAAGAAGTGCCACGCCCCTTTTCAGTAACATAATCATGTGTCTGAAAATGTTTTTCCAAAACTTTCGATTGCAAATATGTTCAAAATCAATGTACCTATATATTTAATATCATTAATGTTCATGAATGACTAAGACTGATCACTCAGGCAGAAAGGTATAATGCGATACCGTTGTAAAAAGGCAAGAATTATGATTGATGATGTCACATTTTATGCAAATGAGACAATTTGCATAATTATTGCATCTGATAATATAGGATACTATAATAGCTTCATTTTGGTACCACTTACAGCTTTCAATTCTCAAAACTGTGGAAGTTATTATACTTTGAGGTGATTAACATCAACTCTTTCAAAAATTCAAGATGGCCGACAAGATGGCCGCCAATGGATACCATGGGACAATATTTCATTCTGGGAACATGCAAAAATCTTTAGTATGGACCTTTAGGATTACAAAAATGTACATTAAAAAAATACATCTTTCGGGTGCATGGGGACCATACCTTCCTACTAGACTATATAGATGCATGTGGAGTTGTTAAAAACATTTTATTCAGATTAACTTAAGGTGGGACCTGGTCCGTCAGCCAAAAAAATCCTCATTTTGTTCAGATTTACCTAATAATCAGCTGCACAGTGTTCCAATTTAGACGGTATACAAGTCAGAAATGTTCGACATATGCAAGATGTGGCAAGATGACTTACTTTCATGTTTGTGTTGACGTTTACGTCAACTCTTGTAGATTATTGTACCCCTTTCCCATTAAATCTTTCACTTCGCCCATTTCAGGATCACGACAACCTATTCTCAGAGGACAGAGTCTCAATGATGAGTTATCATGAAAGTGAAACATTCCAACTGCCCAAAACATTCCGAAACGTCATTTCGTCCTGTGCTAACCGCACCTCCGTACAAGGCGTGCCGAATATCAACAACTCAAAATCTATGGTACAAAGGGTTGGCTGGTCGTTATTATTCATTGCTGCATGTGTTGTCACTGTGGAGCAGCTTTACGAAGTCTTTGATAAATACTACTCCTACGACAAGAACACTGTGATATCATTAGAGTACCAACATATTCGATTCCCGAGCATAACGATATGCAACCAGAACGCCATAAGAAAAGACAAGTTGCACTTGGCGCGACCTGAACTAAAGGCGTTTCTAGAAAACTATATGAAGGAGAAGCCATTTGGGAACAGAAAGGTGAGAAAATCAGTTGCTCTAGATCTCGTCATCTGTCTAAGTATCCACATTTGAATGTTATTAGACAAGTTGAATATGTTAACATATTTCAATTATATCGCTATATTGTTTTTTTGGTGCATCGAAGCATCTGATACAATACTTTATTCATTCTAATCAACAATTTTAATATGTAACAATGTTTATCTATCAGCCGCCCCCTAGTCACCATAATCCATCCGGTAACGACGGTCAGAATCCCGGGACTCAGGTAAAATATACGTATCTGTGTAGTTTAGACAACTTAGATGTCGTCGTTTCATTTTACTTGAAGGGTTCTTTTAGTGTGAGGATAGGTTATAACTGTCTCCTTATGATTTAGCTAGTTTTGCACCGTTACAATATATTCGATTTCAGAAGAATTGCGTTACATATAAAGGTTGACCAAAGGCTAAACAAAATTAAATGAACTAAAATGGTCATTTAATTTCTTTCAATTTGTTCTTACTACAGTAGATTAGTATACTTTTGGTCTCTGCTAGTTTAGAAGGCAATCTTATTTTGGCTGTATTATTAGTATGTCCCAGTGTATAATGGCCTCTAAAAATATAAACAGAAGACGTCAATAATATATACACCATTTGTCATGGGTCATGATTCTCCATGGTTGCTATTGCCCACATGTGTTGTTTTGATGTATGTTGTTCCATGTGAAGTTCTTAATGTTGGATAACAAATAATTTTGCCACTATCATATTACAGAATTGAAATATACGAATTCAATTGTATTATTCTGAAAAAACTAAATGAATTTCATGATTATCAATTCAACTGTATTATTCTGAAAAAACTAAATTGATTTCATGATTATCAATTGAGCTGTATTATTCTGAAGAAAAAACAAATGGATTTCATGATTATCAATTCAATAGTATTATTCTGTACCATCAAGTCAATTGTATAATTCTGAAAAAACTAAATGAATTTTATGATTATCAATGGATAGCCGCTAAGTACTTTTAATTTGTAATGGTGACCCAATGGTGCAGATGAACCAGCCCCGGGAAATGGCATGCGCAGGTAAAGCAAGGTAAAATAAGGGCATGAACTCCTATTCTTGCATTTGTTCGCTTACTCTTTGCCTCAACTACATTATAGTCTTGGTTACATGCCAGAAAAAGCATTAGCATGCACAACGAGAAACACTACAAGATAAATACCATTGCATTCGTTGGATTTCACATAATAAACGGTACTAAATTGGAATAAGTTGGACTCCTTATCTAAAATGATTAATTACTACCATTAACATTTAGTAACAAAGTTTACATTGCATGTTACTAGTGTTAGACTATGTGTTACGTGCTGCGTTAAGATTGCGAACGGAGTTCGAATTAAAGTACAATATTTTATACTTTTCCCGAATGCCCTTTTAGTGCTATTATGCAACAGCATGCCAAAATCAGCAATCCGTTTCTATAGTTTCGAAAGAATAGTCTGCAAGTATATCCTTGTCGACTGCATTTTTAGGAGAAATTTCTTGATAAGTTGTCGTGCACTGTCGCTGTGTAATCCTTTGCTATCAGATTTAGTGCTTGTCTTTCACTGTCGTTACTTTCTACTAGAGGACGTACATCTTAATGATAAAAATAGAAACCTACTATACATGATTTCTATTTAGCAAGAGCGAATCTGACATATGATTCGAATTCAACCAGGAAAACCCTTAAATCCATGCATAGATTTTGGTAATAGGTATCGCTTAGATTTAATTATTTTACAGATAAATTTTGTTCACTATTTTAAGGTTACAACAGGCACACATTTACATTTGGTTGAGGTATTAATAAGTGTATCTATATTGTAAAACTTATTGCACATATCTTCCAATTTTATGTAGACCTATTGAATCCAGTAGATCTGAAACAACTTTCAAGCTTGACATGTATTTTCATTTCTAGAAACGAGATGTTGGTCCTCAACCATTAGGTCCTTCTTCAACTCCTTCTGATTCTGCCTCGATACAAAGTGCAACATCTGCAACTCCCAACTCGACCTTTGGACCAAACGGTTTGAACATAATTCCTACAAATGGTCCTAATGGGCAAGAAGTCACAAATGATTCTAATACTCAAATGCCCACAAGTGATACCAGCACACAAAGGCTCACAAATAATCCAAATATACAAGGTGACATAAATAATCCAAATGTGCAAGGTGACATAAATAATCCAAATGTGCAAGGTGACATAAATAATCCAAATGTGCAAGGGGACATAAATAATCCAAATATACAAGGTGACATAAATAATCCAAATGTGCAAGGTGACATAAATAATCCAAATGTGCAAGGTGACATAAATAATCCAAATATACAAGGTGACATAATTAATCCAAATGTGCAGGGGGACACGGATCTAGGACAGTCTAGCAGTACGTTTCCTGGTCAGAGGCAGCGTGTTAGCAACACTACATTTCTGTCTGATAAATTCAATAGCTTTAGATTCGAGGAGGATGGTTTTGAGGGATTAACTGAGGACGCAGCAAGGGATCTATTCGAAGAGTATCAATATCTTGTACATGAGGAATCCGAGTGAGTAGATAATTATGAGTTTTTTTTATCTTGAGATTAACAAAATATTCTAAACACTAGAAACATGTGGAATTGGTGTTTTATTTGGTTACATCTGTGCAACTCGCCAGACATTCGCCACTTAACCAATTAGAAACTTGGATTTATAGGGAAATTAACATAAATTCTGAAGTCTCGCAAAAACATTTTTATTTTTACAGTGGTAAACTTGGATACATTGTAGAGATATTATATAACGATTTTCAGTGAGACTCGCCAACAGATGGGTCATCAGGGGAACAGCTTCATCCAATCGTGTTCCTTCAATGGATATGAATGCGAGGCATCGTGAGTATTGGGAATAAATAGTATTACTAGAAATAAAACAGTTCAATTTGAAAGATGGCAGCTCATGGAGTCTTGTTCATAATCATTACGATGCCTGTTGGTCTGTTTAGATGACATCTATTTGAGACGGCGTGAGGATAAGATTGCATTAAGAAAACATTGAAGTATGCTTCTATCAACCATTTCTGTTTTTCCAGAAATTTTGAAGAGTTTCTCAATACAGAGTATGGCAACTGTTTCACATTTAACAACAAGAAATCCCGTAAAGGCGAATCTTTAAGATCAACCAAGGCCGGATACCAACATGGTATGTTTTATGAGTGATATGACGACGGAAGTAAGAGTCAATGAATAATCTTACCTTGCTGATTAACGTTTACATTTTATACATAGAATTACACAATAACTTAATGTTTAAATACAAAGAAGTCAATATAAACTACTGTTCAACTAATATTTCAATTCAATTAAATATTTAATTCGCGTTTTTTGCACATTTGGCAAGTCTACATATACATCGTTCCTAGATTCCTCCATCCAATCTACAAAAACTTTAATCGATCTCGTTGACATTCTGTACTCTCGTTCTGTAGGGCTAAACTTGGTTTTATACCTTGATGGTCGGAACTACATGCCGGGTATTACCCAAGGATCTGGTGCCATTTTGGTGGTGCATGAGTTTGATACCACGCCGTATCCAAGCCAAGCTGGAATTGCAATTAACGTTGGTACAGAAACTAGACTTGCTCTGAAAATGGTAATTTCAATTTTTAAAGATCACTACGGTTTGATTTGCACAGCAATTTTCATGTTATCATCTGTAGTCTGAACGATTTAATCAGTGTGTTACCTGAATATTTTTTTCCCTTGTTGTACAGGGTGAATCAGAAAAACGCAACAAGTAGTTATCTCGTAAAATCACAAAAGTAGTGATGACTACATCAATTTCATTTAATGTACCGTAAAGCCATGTCTCTCCTCTTTGCAATGATATGTCATTCATTCATATGTGGTGAAACATTAAAAAAACAATGTATATAACTTATCGAAACCAGGAACAAACCGATTGGCTATCAATATGAAGCTCAAAACAAAAGGCAAGGACATTACCAAACCGTACTATAACCGTAACAAGAATGCCTCCAACAAACAGAATCAACAGAACCAAGATAATAATAACAATAATGATGACCCCAATCATGGAACCAATGACTGGACAACAGTGAACAAGAAACATAGAAATAATGCTCGCCAATCTCCCAATAATCAAACAGATGCGACAACTCACGAACAATCTAAACCTCAACAAGGACACTCCTTAAGATGCATCAAATGTGGGGAGGCCAGCCACCTCACTAGCTCATGTTGGCACCCTGCCACCGTACGTTGCCGTGGGTGCAATCAGCTTGGACACAAAGTCTCAAGATGTCCTGCAAACAGGATGGTGGACCAAGGGCACCAAGATTTCAACCGGTTCTAGATTCTTGGTGAAGTTATCGCCCCATCCCCACAATGCAAAGATAATGTCCCTAGATCACACACAAAGCCTCGTAAATTGCATAAACGTTCACGAAGGGGTGCACACAAACGCAAGAACAATGCCAATTTTCCTTTAAGTATCGCATTCAACAATGTAGAATACTTAGGATTAGCAAAACAACACGAACTTGATAATCTTCTGTCAATGAAACAGTTTGACATTGTAGGAGTGTGTGAAACATTTTTCAAAGACTCGAATACCCCTACTGTCAGTAATAAGGAATATGAATGGTTTGGTAAGAACAGAGTCAATAGATCTGGTGGTGGTGTTGGTTTTTTCATAAAAAGAGATAAAGTTACTATTTTAAAAGAAAACCACTTAGATTCACTTAATGATGAATTTGAAAGATATTGGTTAAAGGTAAAGATAGTCAATGTAATTCTTAATGTTGGAGTTGCATACTTTCCAAATGATGGGAAGAATCCTGCTCTTACAGAAGCCCTTACTGAGGAACTAATCAAAGACATTTCTCAATTTGATAATAGCAACGAATGTACCCTCCTTATGGGTGACTTTAATGGACGCATAAAAGAATTCAATGGTGGTCAAAGCAGTCACAATGGTAAATTCATAGAAGTCCTCAGTGAGGCAACCAATTGTACTATACTTAATTTAACTGAAGAATGTGAAGGTGAGGTAACATGGGCCCGCAACAACCAGTCATCCACACTTGATTATATTTTGGTCAATGACAGATTTATGAGTATTTATGATAAAATGGTTATTCATGAAAATCACTATGTGTCTATTGGCAGCAGCCACGCTTTTCTTGTTGTTGAAGGCTCTTGTTGCGGGTCAGATTCTAAATCTAAATCTAAAAATAAAATGTCAAATGAAGTAATTAAAACACCAAGTTGGAAAATCTCAGAAAATACAGACTGGACAAAGTTCCAGCAACTTATAACAAAACAATTTAATTCCTGGGATATTTCATTATACTCTAATATTGAGGAAGCATGGGCAGTTTGGAAGGGTAAAGTCAAAGAGGCAGCCTATGAGTCTGTGGGAACTAAGGTCATCTCCCCCAACCATGTATCATTCTGGAATGAAGAAATCAAACAATTAATCAAAAATAGAAGGGAAGCATGTCGTTTCTTTAGGTATTGGAAACGCGCCAAAACATGCGACCCCAATGTGCTGCAAGAAATGTGGGATTTATATATTCAAAGAAAAGAGCAAGTTCGTGATAAGATTAAACAAGTACACATTCAAAACCATATTAAGACTATCACAAAGAATGCCTCAAAGAAATCTAATTCAAAATCTTTTTGGAAAACATTAAAAATGTTTAATGCAAAAGCAGGACACCCAATACAAATAAAAGACCCAGATGACCCAAAATGTATAATAACTGACCCTCGGAAAGTATCTCAGTCAATTGCTAAATACTGGAAAAATGTTGGTTCCAACAATGTAAATGATCGTTCAGTAAAAACAGACTTGTCTCAGCAACTTAGAGAGCTTCATATGTCATCTACATTTTCAGACAATGCTTTATTTGATGTTACATTTGATGAAGGTGAAGTTTCCGAATGTATCAAAGGGTTAAGTAATGGTAAAGCATGTGGAACAGATCAAATTCCAAATGAATTTCTGAAGCAAGGGGGGCCTATTATAATTAAATCAATATCTGAAATATTTTATCAAGTGAAGATTAGAGAACAAATGCCCAAAGAATGGAAAGAAGGTCTTTTATTTCCCATTCACAAGAATTCAGATAAGGAAATACTTGACAACTATAGAGGCATAACAATAAACTCTAACATTTACAAGCTTTTCACCTCAATTATGGAATCTAAGATCTTGAAGTTTTTCGAAGTTAATAACGTTTTGGGTGACTTGCAAGGCGCCTTTAGATCAGGTTTGAGATTAGAAAATCATATTTTTGCCCTTTTTGCCCAGGTATCTGTAGCATGAGGAAAAACAACAACCTTAAGACCTATTTATCTTTTTTTGGACATCTCTAAAGCCTTCGACGTGGTCAACAGGGACCTTTTATTTTTACGATTATGGGAAAAGGGGATTCAAGGTAAAGTCTGGCGCATTTTGAGGGAGTTATATGTGGGAGTTAAAAGCAAAGTGATTTTTGGAACAATTTCAACAGAGTGGGAAGAGTGCAACCCTGTCTATAGCCTAAAACAGGGTTGCTGCCTCTCCCCGACTCTGTTTTCCCTTGTTATGAGCGACCTTGTTGAAATGTTCAACAATGAAGATATAGGGTTACCTTTTGAAAATGAAAAGGTCCCAGTTCTTATGTTCGCCGATGATGTTGTTTTACTTGCCGAAAATGAATCTACAATGAACAGAATGTTGAAAATTGCTGACATCTTTTCTATTAAATGGGGGTTCAATTTTAGCCCTAAAAAATCAAAGGTTATGGTCATTGGGAAAAGACTTGACAAAAATAAAAAATGGATCTTAGGCAGCCATGAATTATTTGAGGTTAAAAGTTATAAGTATCTAGGGATATATTTTGATCGGTCTCTAAAAGACTCTGGCCACATTGACTTTGCTGAAAAATCTAAACGAATTCAAGGTATGATAGTCTCCACTTTGACAAAACACTGTAATGTCATGCGTCTCAAATTTGGGGAGAAAATGTACAATTCAATGTTTGTCCCTGCCATTCTTCATGGCTGTCCTATATTCACGTTAAACAAAACTAACACGGATAAAATGAAATCAATGCAATATAATATTGGGAGATCAATTCTCCAAATTAGGTGTTGCCCAGCCAGAGAAGCACTTTTAGGTGATTTAGGCTGGAGACCTCTTGTTGATGTCATTGAAAAAAGGCAAATAGATTACTTTATATATCTAAAATGTAATATCAAAGAAGGGTCATTACACAAAAAGATATTTAATTCTATGTATGATGGCTTCTGTGCTAATGATGAAAGCAAAGCATTCCCTTACTTTTCAAACATAAAATCCATCTTAACAAAATATGGACTGGATGATGTTATCTACAGAGATGATATTGACTGGTATCAGGCCCTTATCAAAATATCAGATCAAGAAAGGCTTAATAATTTTAAATCTGCATTGAATGAAAAGTCTTCACTCTCACTGTATCGATGTCTAAATCCCCATCCCTTCTTAAAAAACTACCTGACCACAGATTTTGACTTCTATGGGCAAAAATTAAAGTTCAAAGCTAGATCAGGGTGTTTTGGCTTAAAAACAGAATACGAAAAATGGGGACAGGGAAATGGAATATGTACGTTATGTGATAAAAATGTAAAAGACACCATCCAACATAGACTTTTTGTTTGCCCTTTCTTTGGTAATGATAGAAATACTTTTTATAAAAATGTTATTGAAAAATGTAATCCAGCACTATCGTCGGGTCTTCTATCAGCCAGTGTGCAAATTAAAACACGTTGGGCCTTAGGTGAGGACCTTTTTACATTGTGGGGACAAGAAGAAGCTTTTAAGTTCGATAAATGTGTAAAGGGTCTTTTAAAATGTGTATATAAACCCCAGACCCAATAACATGTCCTAGTTTCTTATATATAATGCCTGTAAACTGATATATGCTTTTAAATGTTTTGCCAATGTCTGGAAGAACCATTTGTGTTCCGCTGTAATAAAAGCGTTTCCAATAAATAAATAAAAAAAAAATATATATAACTTGGCCCGAAGCTAATTTTGGCCCACTTTGCAAATGGAATGATTACTCACCCAACCATGACCAAATATCAATGAATGATATATCATTGTAAAGAGGAGACACGTGGCTTTATGGTGCATTGAATGAAATCAATGCTGTTATCACTGGTTTTGTGCTTTTCCAAGATAACAATCTTTTGCGTTTTTTATACGCACTGTATATCTTATCGAGGGATTATTTGAAACAATAAGATTGGCAGAATATGGCAGAATATGGAAAAGCTACTGTCTTTGTCCAACACTTCTTTATAAAGTCGACTCTCTGACTTATTTCCTGTGGTTTACAAAATTTGAAACGTAAATTTTAACATAAAAAGCCTGCCAGAAAGTATTAATTTACATAGCTACATTTTAATAGGGAACGCGTGATGTGTTAACATGAGTTTTTCAGGTTGACATAAAAAGGTTAGGCGGCATATATGGCGACTGCACGTTTGATAGTACATGGGAAAAAGATTATGGGGCACTATACACCCAGCAGGTAAAGTCTAGCAGAAAATTGACGAATGTTTATTAATATTATTTTTATGTTTAAAAGTGTCCTGTAAATTCATTTTACGAAATAGAAACGATATCAATTTTCGATGTTAAAAATGTGGTTAGAAAGGACAGATTGTTAAAGTCGTTTTATGATTTGATTGAATGTAGAGTAGTTGCAACTTGTAGATGTATTAAATGGAACGGATGTTTAGGTGATTAAAGATCAATTGTTTGCATTTTTGTGATCATTTCATTAATGTTGTAGAGTTGCATCGAGACGTGTCAACATAGAGGAATAATGGAGCTATGTGGCTGCCACGTCCATGGTTACAAGGAATACTACCCAATACACTTTAGAAGCAACGGCACACTATGTGAAACAGACGCAGGTAATATTACAATACGCATTTTTACTTACCGTTTATGACAGTGCACATTGGCGCTTAGCCAATATTTAGTCAAATATCTAGATAAAGTATTATAAATTCATAATCAAAAATGACAATATGGTGCATAACTCGTGCTTCATAAAATGTATTTAACCAGTGAAAAATGCATTGCTTCAGAACTGCTTTGTGCCTTCAAGTTGAAGCGAGACTACCTGAAGGGAAACTACACATGCGATTGTAATCAGCCCTGCGAGTAAGCTAGCACTTAAACCGTCCCTTATACACAGTTTGCCATTTATGTAATATTTAACATGGACATTTAACAGTGACATTTAACATTGAGTAAAACAAATCTTCATCTCAAAGGCACCATTTCAAACATATAAAATATAATATAATATAATATGCTGAACAGATTAACACAATGTCTCACGGACCACTTTGAAATAACATAGACAAAATAACACATGTCAATTCAAGCAGAAAGGGCCAAATAACAGTGATGTTAGGCACTCACAACTCAATCCTTGTCTTAATTTCTGTTTTTTACTCCATAAATTTAAAATTGAAATCGTTGTATTTATCCCAAAGCAATAGATTTACTCTTAAAGGTTACAACTTTAATCAGCGAGTTTCTGTTTGTCTCCTTGTTGGTGGTGCGCTGTTGTTACAGATATTATATTGGTACATTTTGAATCGGTAAAATTATGTTAATCTTCATGTGGTTTACTAAATATCGTTATATGCTATGTTTTACAGTGAAAGAATATATGAATATAGTACATCGTCAAATGACTGGCCGCACACGGCATATGAGGTAAGAGAAATAAAGAGAACAATGCATTGACAATACATATGCAAGAAGTCAATTTGAAACTTGAAATATTTAATAGTTCCTTTTATGATCATTTAATTGTTATTTTGTTAACTTTATTTCTTAAGGATACTGTCAAAGAACTTGGATGTAGCGATGACGTTGATGATGAAAAGATTTGCGAAGATGTATCATCGCCACAGTTCAATGTTAGGTAATGTGAACATAAAATAGTGTTTATGAAAAGTGTTTGGCATTATGCAGATTTGATTGAATGGATAGTGACTGTAGACAATATTTTGAAAAAACACTATAAAACATCACGTCCGCCCTAACCCTACCTTAGTAACCATGGCAACTAATGAAATGAAAATGTGATGTCATAGAACAATGAAATTTTGCCAGTGTTACTATTCGATATACTAGTTATATTGCGTTAAAAAATACAAAGAAAGGGTTGATATTGGTGATATTAGAGCCAACGGTCCGTCCATTACTATTTGATCGCCCCTCGTATGTACTTACATTTATTTAGTTGAGACGTTTTATATATTTTCTGATGCCAATGTTGAATATATACATACATATTTAATCCGGAAATTCAAAATAACATCTTATTTATAACATCAAATCTTTTCAGAGACGACTACCTCAGCTTAAGGTTATTCTATCAAACATTAAATTACGAGTCCATCGAAGAGGAACTGGATTACTCGGTTAGTATATATGAATGTAGAAAGAAAGTGTCTATAGAAATTGATATCGTCATTACATTCCTATATTGTAAACTACATTTTTTCCAACATGTAAATTGTTTCTTTTAGGCTTGGACATTGACCAAAACATCTTTTATATTCTAATATTTGTTTAAAGTACATCTTATAAACTCTCGTATGTAAACTGAATGTTTCAGATTGCCAACTTCCTGTCAGATATAGGTGGCACTGTTGGTCTATGGATAGGCGCATCTGTTCTTACGGCAGTGGAGGGCCTAGAGATGGTTGCACTTTTATTTGTCTTCTTCTACCGCAAGTGTAAACGCTGGTACAGAGCTGACCAAGAGTACGAGAGAAAGGTACAGGAAGCAAAGAGGAAGAAAAGGGAAGAAGAAGAACAAGCGAAACGAGAAGAGAAAATTAAACAAGAAAAAAGACAATCTAAAAGATCTAGCCAACCATCGTTTGCCAATTCGAACGGACTTTCGCCAATGGGATCAACTTTTCGCCCTCCTTTAAGACATACTCCCTCATACAGCAGTGCGAGGTATTAGCTAATGATACAACGTAATTGTTATGCATCGAGCAGATGATTACAACCTTTTCAATTTCTATAAAACACGATGCAATTTATTTCGACCCAACAGTGTTGTTATAAATTGGTAATTGAGATTTTTCACATTAAGTATTCATCAATTTTCTGAAGTGACTTTTAATTTTCCACGAGAAGATGTGCACTCATGTTTAAACAGCAGTGAATAATGTGGCAAGAACAGTGTAATTGGCAACTCGAATTAATCCTATCCTTATACCGTCAGAGGAAGGAATATCATGACCTTATAGGCAAGGCTACGTCGTCTACTGTCTTACAGATCAGCATTTGTCAATCCGACATGTAGAAAAATCATACGGAGCTTTAAAACTAAGCTACGATGACATTATTTTTTAATGTACTTCAAAAACTATACAATAATGAAAAGCGACTATTGTTGTTAGTGAATGTATTCATGATGCCACTTCCAAATGGAAATTCTACTTTTTACTATTCTGATTGGTCGAAGAGTTGACATTTCCATTCGGTTAACTGTAAAAATGATTTCCTTTCACAGCTTTAGTTTACAATGTCAGGATGCAATCAAAACAGTCGACCTCTACATATTGGAACAGTATCGTCGATCGGAACTGGAAATAATTTGTATTTCCAAACTTGAAGTAAGTTGAATGACACGACTTTCTAGTTCTCACAGAAGAAGTCATATGGCATTAGTTATTTTCTCTAGAATAAACAAATAATGAGTTAGTCAAAGTAAATTGTCATATATGTCATTCAAAAGACTAATGGGGCTACTATTACCAACGTGAAGTTTAGTTGAATGGATTATTGCAAATATGCCGTTAATTCTTTGCAATCTACGGGGATTATATCTCATAATTGAAAGATTGATTTATCTAATTTGATCACAAGTAGATAGGTATTTGTTGCTATTATTTAATATCAGTTAAATACTGAATAACTGTTTTATTATCCGTATGTGGTTGAAATACCGATACGTTCCACACTTTGATTCAGCTCTAATGTTTTTAGCACACATGGTGAGCTATTGCAATCACTCGATCACTTGTCCGTCTGTCTGTCCGTCCGTCCACAGTGTATCTATATATTACAAGACGTCCGTCCGCCATTCTTCCACCATTAGACCTACTGTGTCCCTATGCATCAGCAGGTACTCATCAGCATATAAAATTTGAACCAAATCTGTTCACTGATATTTGAGTTATCAAAGTAAACATTGATTTGTCCATCTGTCTCGCGAAATCCACTTTTGGACCATTTGCCTTAAAACCTCCCTTGATAGAATTCCCGTTTTAAATTATTTTTGTTCAATATCAATATAGTAAACTCCCCTATGACTCACAGTTCAAAAGCTCGCCTATTTTCAAAATGGTCGCCATTTTTGTCTTGCGAAACTTTTGGCGCATTTCCCAGCTATACAAATAATTTCAGGTTTCCTGCATTGTAAAAAGCCATGTCACTGTAAAGAGTAGTTGTATGAAATAATGTTGTTACAAAAAATCGGCAAAAATTATATCCGTTTTTTCTGCCATTTTAGCCATCATATCACTTTTGAGCAACACCATGTGAGCCAAATACCCACGGTATAATTTATTTGTTTATGCGAACCGATCCGTTATGTTTTCACCTTTCACCATGATATCATTCAGAATATCTAAAACACAAAACCATGGGTGATTTTATTCTGAAAATATGCTTTGCAATAAATCATATCAGTGAAAACATAAAGGATCAGTGGAGGGTGGTTAACCCTTTTGTTTCTTTATTTCACATATATGACTGGCTGTACGCTGGGATGTTTCTTTATCTTGCTATGTTTGTTATGCCAGTACCCAAGGTGACATTATATTGCTATGGTCTCCAACTTTTTTGTGGACGGCGTCTGTAACTTTCGTTTAACTTTCTCAAAACCACTACTTCCAATAACTTAACAAGTGTTACATAGACTGGCTTCAATTTCTTTTAGAATTCATAAACTGGGTTATAAGTTTTTCAGAAGTTTAAATCTGACTTTAGATTTAACATTTGACCTTTTCAAGGTCAAAAAATTGATTTAAATTGATCGATCCAAATTGATGATTTTTTCAAAAGTTCTCAGACGTTAGACTTAGACTTTAGTTTTGAGATTCGACCTTTGGTTGACCTTCGAAAGGTGGTGACATTTTGTCATGTTAATGCCTTGGACTGCTCCTTGGTATTTCCCATTTTGTACTCAGATTTACATATCAAAGCAAATATCTTATTTTGTAGTGAGTGATTATACAAATGTATCTTTTAACATAACCATGAGTATCCAATGCTGGAAGAGGTGGATACACATCGAGTATTTGTGAATGTTTATCTACTGCTCGAGAAATAATGTGGATACAACTTTATCAATCTCTTATAAAATAAATCATTTGCTACTGTTAGTTTATCCCTCAATATTTCAGAATAAAAAGATAAAAACCGTTTGACATCGGTGTATTAAGTTATTTGCTTTACTGGCGCCGTAGTAGATAGTTGCTTAAGTCATTTAAAAACCTAAATGATTCCAAAACAAACTCAACTGAAGAAGCTATAGAAGTCTTTAAGTCCCTAATAGTTGCATTTGACCATAAATCATAGATGTTTTATAGGAATCAGATTCGATCATATTCATATTTTACAGGGAGCCAAAAAACGAATTTCTTAAAGTTAATTTAAATTGGTCGTAGCAGTTCAGATGCTTTCAATCATCCACTCGAGGATGTACATTTATGGTTAAACAGCAACGATCTGACGGCAACATTAAATGTGTAGTTTATCCCATTTCAATGCCATACGAGGTATTGATGAACTAGATACTAAATACACGTTCATCATTAGATCAACAATTGTCAGTCGACGTGTAGATATTCTGTTTTTCACTGGGGATACATTTATAATGCAAATATACCGTAAGAGTCCACGTTCATTTGTATAATTGTAATAAATAATCGGAAAACGTAACAGAGATCATTTTGGAATCCATCACATAACATGATCAGCATGTTTTAGTAATTTTTGAAGGAAATGAACCACTGTATAAGCCATTTTTCTTATGATTAAATAACGAAGATTGTCCGAGTTGTTTTCAAGTGACTGCTGGCTACGTTGTGAAAGTTGCATGCCCGGGGTAGCATGGTTTATTGGAAAGATGCCGTTAATGTATTTTAAGCAATTTCACACGATTTCGAGCAAAAATGTCCTCCAATAAAAATAAAATCGACTACATGATTTTCAACTAAAAATATCAATATTCAAATATTTTCAGCAACCCCTTAACTCAAACACTTTATATCTAAACTGATATTACAAGTTAGACGAATAACCCTAAAGTCGATTTATTCTATTGGCCTATATAAGAGATAACAATATCCTAAACCTCATATGATGTAATCTCTAAACATCTTATTCCAAAAAACATATCATATATAACGATACAGCGACGTATATCCTGTTACGGTGAATGTAAGTAGAACGATTTCTCATTCCAATGGTGATGTTAGTATCTAAAAATACACAGAAATAGCTTCGTTGTGTTATTATTAGGACGTTTGAAATGATCTGACTTGACAAAAGATCGTTGCCCCGAGTTGCACTTGTTTGCCTAACGTTTATCTATATTCGAAGCGCCTCGTCTTCAGTAAACATTCATTGGAAGCTACGTAATTCGATTGGCAGCATTCATTTTAATTTCCAATTCTAATTCACAACATTTTCTCTTTTTCATGCAAGTGTGAGATTTTGGGTATTTAAAGCAGCAGTATGGACTGCTGAGTCGTATCCAGTGATCCTGGGCCTATCCGGTAAAATGAAAGCTTTGAATAGCCTTTAAAAATGTATCTATTTTCCATATATGCAACTAGAATTTGTGCACATACCTTATATCGATCGATAATGGCAAAAGAAAATCCTCTAATACTTCTTCTTCATCATCCCCTTCGTCTCCGCCATTTTTTATTCAACCGAAAGTTTGTTCTCTAACGTCCGCGCAATGTTTTTTCACTTTTATTTCAGATTACACTTTGGATACAACTTTTCATGCTTTCTAATAATCGTCAAGTGATTTCTATAAGAAACGTTTTCGTAAAAAGAATCACACTATCAGAGATTTTATCGACTCAGCAGTCAGAAAAATGAGTTTCAATTTGAAACTATAAGTGGGACTCCTTGTATAGAATTATAGATTCTAAACGATATATCAGTCCTACTGGTTGATGAATATTGCCGTATGCATATATTTTAATAAAAAAGGAATAAGGAAGAAGATGTTAGACCCAGCTTCGCCCCGATAGCTCAGAAAAGGTAGCCGCTTTAAACCCATTGGCCAGTTTCTTTTTAGTTTTGGTATCTCATAATTTATGAAATGTGTTTCTTCAGTGTAACCTTTATAAATATTTTGCAATGATGTTGTGTGTGTTGGTGAAATAGATGAAGGGAGGTCAATTGTCTTGAAGCATGACTTGTTGTTCTTTAACTTATTTCTTTATGACATTTTGATATTTATGGTGTATGTATCTTAAAAGGCACTCTAATAAATAACAGTAGTTTAGACTTTGATGATGATGGCTAGATATGTTTCATTGCATCGTTCCATATTTGAATTATGGCATTTTTGTTATCCTTTACAAATATCGCTTACGAAATATATGATATATGCTAGATATATTTCATTTCATCGTTCCATATTTGAATTATGGCATTTTGTTATCCTTCACAAATATCGCTTACGAAATATATGATATATGCTAGATATATCTCATTTCATCGTTCCATATATATTTGAATTATGGCATTTTGCTAGATATGTTTCATTTCATCGTTCCATATTTGAATAATGGCATTTTTGTCATCCTTTACAAAAATCGCTTACGAAATATATGATATATGCTAGATATATCTCATTTCATCGTTCCATATATATTTGAATTATGGCATTTTGCTAGATATGTTTCATTTCATCGTTCCATATTTGAATAATGGCATTTTTGTCATCCTTTACAAAAATCGCTTACGAAATATATGATATACCGTATGCTAGATATATATCATTTCATCGTTCCATATTTGAATTATGGCATTTTTGTTATCCTTTACAAATTCCGCTTACGAATTATATGATATATGCTAGATATATTTCATTTCATCGTTCCATATTTGAATTATGGCATTTTGTTATCCTTACAAATATCGCTCACGAAATATTCTATGCGCAACTTGCGTTATCGATAAAAATCATTGTTTGTAGCATGATAATTTTGACTATCGCTTTATACATCGTGACTATGAACTAATATGGATATTCTTTGATCAGATTGAATTTAGGATTACCATGCAGTAGGCTTAATATCGTATTTATGAAACTAATTTACCTTAAAACGTAATTGCTGCTTA